TATATATATATATATATATATATATATATATATATATAAAATTGACACAATGCAAATACCACATGCAATATATAATCACTAAATAACTTTCTTACGTTTCTCCAATGCCACTTAGCTTTATTTCCGCAGTCTGCAGAATCAGTAAAGTATCTTTATCTGTTTCTTTAAAAGAGATAGAATATAACCGCTTCCTTAATCCGGAACAATTCCCGATCGTCACAATGATCTTACGTTATAATTAAATCTAACTTGATTAAAGCATCATAGTGCAGAGAACGCGACAATAGATGTATCTTCTCCCTTGTCTAATTCATTCTAGCTGTCGTAATTTTCGTTACGTAATTTTCAATATTACATCATTCGATAATGATAAATGATTCATAGAGCGATGGCTCTTTGGCACACTCGCGGTTGATAAATAATTTCAGCTTTTCCGGTGAACGAACTTAGACGGGGATGCGATCCAATTGATTTTATATAATATGAGATATATAAAAATCTGATATATAAGTCGGTTTATATATAATATAAACCGGTACAAGAGAGTATTAAAAATGATGGCAGGTAAATATAGATATGACAGTAGCACTGCGTGCAAGTATTATTCGGAGGAGAATATAGAAGTATAGACTTGTTCGAGCGTATTATACGTGACTCTCGAGGGGCACCTTAAAGACCTTGGACGCGAGATTCGCGTCCGGCAATGACTGCGGTCGTGCAGCGTTGGTCACGTTGAAGACGACATTGCTGGGTCCACGAAAGCTCACCTCGATCAGGAAGCTCGTGTCGGCCATGCCGACTCGATTGGTGCTGAGATCGGGCGAGCTGGTTCTGAGCTGGCTCTTCTTCGGTCTATAATCGCTTCTGATGACTCTCTCGGCCTCCGATTGTAATTTGTTATCGAGCCAGTGCACCTTATCGAAGTCCTTGGTGCTGCCGACCGTGTGTCTTCGTTTGATCGATCGTTCGGACATCCCATTCTTCCGCTTCAATTTCGTGGCGCTCTCCTTCCGCACCGATTGCCGCCGCTTGCTGATGTTGCATTCAGTCTTTTCAGTTTTCGTCAGCGACTCCGATCGCTTCAGTTTGCTGCCCGGCGACTCCGACCTGTCGCCCGAGTGTTTGTTTAAGCTCTCAGATCGTTTAAGCGGCGACAGTCTCTCGGTCGAGTGTTTATTCAAGCTCTCCGATCTCTTCAATCGCGAGGTGGTGTTCTCGCATGTCCTCTTATTTAAAGACTCCGACCGTTTCAGGCGAGACCTCGCCTGGGAGTTTGTCAGACTTTCAAATTTTTTCAGTTTGTTTGAGTAACTGGAGTCCCCGGTCTCGTAATGGTGGCTCTTGCTGTTGTCCTCCACTCTGGCGCTAACGTCGTTGTTCTCCGACTTACTTTCCTGAAGGCTTTTCTCACTCGCCAGTTCGTAATGTTTCGGGTTTCCCGCGTGTAGACAATCATCCCCCTCATCTGCATCCTTCTGGTCCTCGTCCTTTTCGCTTGAATCCGGCATCTTCCCCGCCGCTGGTTTCTCCGTAGTGTGATTCGTCATAGACTTCGTTTCCAGCCTCTGCTTGTCGTTCGTGCCGCGATCGTTGTTCGGCGTGACGGATTCCGGAGGACGCGACATGTCGTCGGCTACCGTCGAGTCTGTATCCTTCTCGGGAGCGTCCTGCGAAGTGGAAATTATTTAATATTATGGAAATTATATTCATTCAGGAAAATTAAATTATCTCATTATATCAATTATTTTTATTACATTTTGATGTGCATTGGTGTATGCAATATCACCTAACGTTAAATATATGACAAATCTATGTTAAAAATAACGATCGCGTGTCTATGCCGTTGCATTTTTTTATTCAATTATTCTCGCTTTCGTCGTTTTTAGATCCCGTCGTTATCTCTACTATCTAGATGAAAGTTTGCCATTTGAGACAGCCATTCCGTTTTCTTCGTTCTAACAACGTAAATAGCTTCGGTAACTTTACGACGCAATATGGAGCACTTACATCCTTCGAGCGGGAAAGGTGACTCTTATCAAGTGATTTATGAAGACTGGGATCGCGATAAGCTTCAGTAGATGGATATTTGAATCTCGGGGACGCGTTTGGCTTCTGTTCCTGCTGCTCCGTAACGTCGTCCTTGTTGCAGGATGTGGATTCCGGAGGCGGCTGCGCTAGATTCGATGACTGATTGACGAGAGACCTCCATTTGCGATCGAACGTGGTCGTGAGGCTCGTTAGAAGGTCGCTACCTGTAATAGGAGATCAATGTTAATCGCGTGAAATCATCGCGAGGATCAACGCAACGCGGACTCATACGCCAGAAAAAGAACACTCAAAGCACCGAAACGATTACTCGTGGCCGTTAATTGTAACGGATATAATCGTGACGCAGTCGCTAAACAAGGTGAATGCCAGAAAGTGTATATGCGTATCGTTTTATCGCAGCTGGTGAATTTCTCGCGTGAATGCATTCCTGCAAAATAAAATCGCTACAAACGAAAAAAAAAAAACTGCGGTAGAAATAATACAAACGGTATCATTAGCAGCATTATAACATTATTCAGTAAACGCAATTCTGAGAAAAGAATTAATTAGTCATCACCATCCTCTTATCGCCATCCTCGGTTATCGCCGTCGTTATTAATAAAATTATCATTATTTCAACAACTGTGTACACTGCGGTAATTAATATAATTAGCATCGTCAATGTGCCTTTTTTCTTTCTCGTGCGAAAAAGCATGAAAAAGACAATGAAAACATTGTGTTCTTGAACACAACGTGATCGATAAAACGGGATGAGAAAGATGAGTATAGTTAAACGTATGTCTGTAGTCATAGGATTAATGTAACTTTCATTAATGTAATTTTGAAAAAAAGACAAAAAAATACATCCGAGATACATGGGAGTTTCTAAAAACAGCGAATGAGCAATATTGCGGTAAAAAGTTCAAAATATTATAAACCGGAAGATGTACTTGGCAGAAAAGAAAAATTAAAACACTTAACTTAAAAACAAAAGCAAAATCCGTTAAAATCGCCAAGCGATAGATTCACCCTCTCAAGGGTGACATATATCTTCGCAAAAATATTCGTCATCTTAAACACCATGTTATGTAACAGCCTCGCAATTAGTGGCGCCGTAAATGTTATAGAGTTCATTCATAATCATACGCTTGAACATCCGAGCAGCACAAACGGCGAAAATAAAATAATACGAGGAAACAACACTGCAAGTTTCGTCGACGGCTCCTGTCCACCAACGGGACAAGACAATGTCCCTGTCGAGCGGAGCGAAAAAATAAAAAAAAAAAAAAAAAAAAAAAAAAAAAAAAAAAAATAAAAAAGAAAGAAGAGAAAAAAGAAAGAAGAGAATGCAGTCTCCAGCGTTATTTGCGCGAGTGAAAGCAGCATTGTGAGACTCGTTTACATTCCCCTCGATGATAGCGATCGCAACGCGCGTGAATATCAACGGAGTTTCACGCTGGGCGCGCGTTGGCAGCAGCAAATACGATGAGACATGAACGCGGGAGCGGGTGGATGCGAGTAAACGAGAGAAAAAAAAATTGAACGAGATGGACGGACGTATAAATAGAGAGACGGTTAGTCGGAGGAAAGTATTGCACAAAAAGAAAAGAAAAAAAAAAAAAAAAAAAA